ATACCATTTCAAATATACTGCCATGTTTAAAAAAACTAGATTAAGTTTCTAAATTATGTAGTTTTGTACACAGAATCTGAATGATGTTCAGAGGCATTAACAGAGTTCTGAAGAGCGTTATTCTTTGGGGCTATGAAATTCCACTATGTACAGTTTGTAGCCACATGAAAAGCATGCTGAGATGTCTTGTTTCATATTCTGTACTAAATCTGCAGTGATTTTTAGATTGAATCCATTGCATTTTAGAGTATTTTTTTTTCAATTCCAAACAGTTCTTTCTAAAAATCTTTGTAGACATTTCTTAGCCTGGACAAATTCATTTTCTGTACTGAAAAAAAAATAATCATTCTCCAGCTTTGCTTTGGAGTGACAGAGGTTACCTTTTATCAAAAGAATTAATAGTAATTAGGTACATTTGATCCACAGAGGTCTCCTTTTAAAAAGTTCTGTTATTGCAGTGTTTATTTTACATACATTACAGTGAGCAGTTACGGTTTATTTTTATTTTCTTCCATTGTTCAAGAACAAGGTTTCAGTTTGACTCCTTTATTGATCAGTGTAGTAACTCTCACTAACTTTTAATAGGAACTGAATTTGGCCTCAAGTTAGTACCCTGCCTTTTCATTTCAAGGGAAAGAACAGTGACCTTAAATGAATCAGAAACTCGGTCAGGAACAGAAAGTGGTTTGGATTAAATCCAGAGCGGAATTGTTGCAGTACTAATGCTGCCGCTGCTCTTGAGAGTCCTTCTGCTTAGGTGCTTATGTGTAAGGACACAGGCATGGGAAGATTTAAGTTACCCAGTCAGAAATGGTCAGGAAGAAGAGAGGCAGAAATTCCTCTCTAAAAGGAACGGAGTGCCTGATTGACACTGGAGGGAGGCATCTACCCTGACTTGGGGATTCTCGGCTGTGCTGTGAACCAGCCTCCTGGAACTGACATCTCAAAAGCTGGCCCAGACTTCCCTGCAGAAAAAAAACCCCTCTGTTATCCCAAACATCTTTGTGGTTAGGGCACAGATGCACAAAACCTGTGGTGGCGTCCCTGATCTAGAGCAGGGATCTTGAATTCGTATCTTCAGCATGAGAGTTCAACTAATAGATTTGGCCTCTTTTTCGTGACATATTTATAAGGAGTAGGAGCCAGAACCTGACTCTCCAGCACTGCAGGCCGTCAGCACTGGGAAATAGAGTCAACCTGTCTTATCTTCTGCCTCGTTGCAAAATTGTGTTGTAGCTTTGACAGTTCAGCAATATTCAAGTTTAAGAGCTTAACTACTTCCACAGGCCACAGTAATTTTGTTTTAGCTATATTGTCTGGGGACACGGGGATGACGAGATTTATACGCAGAGATAAGACCTTCCGTTTAGAGTGAGTAGTGTAAGCTGAAGTAGAAAGCTACCAGGCAGGCCTTGTTTGCTTTTTTCTGATCACATCAGTTTGTGTAAATAAAATGTTACTTGCAAAGCTCGTCTTGCCCATAGGGACTGTGGGCATAAGCGAAGCACTGGCCTCATAAATGGAGTTTGTTCTTGGATTCAGGAACATGGGTGAATAGGCTCAGAGTCCTGCCTGCTGTGAATCTAGCCTGTTGTGCTGCCACAGCCCCGGTTTGTTATATGTATAACGCCACGCCATCAAATTATCGCCACGCAACGGCTTTTTATCACACATGAGCTAGCAAAGGTCTAAGAAAGTATTTAGGTTTTCATCTCAGCTGTGCCTGTAAATGAATGATGCAAGTAACTGAAACTATAGCTACTTATTACAATTTAGACCGCAGAAAAGTGTTGTTAGATATTGCAGTTTCTTAATGTAAGTAGTTCTGCTGACAGTGACTTTCATATTTTTGCACGAGTTCAAAAGTTTGCTGGTACCACTTACTTAAGAAAGCTGCATGCTTATTCTCAAAGCACCGCTGTGCCTGATGTTTCACAGTAGTTAAGATGAATCATTGCTAATATATTTAAATATATAGAACCCTTACCATCTTGCAGGACTCTGGTTAACAGTATATTCAGTTTTCAAAAATGTTGAGATGAAATTTATCAAAGACAACAAATTAACTAGTGCCTGGTAAAATATGTGGGTTTTCTAAAGATTGTTGCATTTTTATTACATTTTACTAGCAGGAGCTGGAAATACTCTGGGCTGCTTTAATGTTCCTGAGTGTATATGCTCCCTAAATAAATGTGCCACGTTAATACAAATTATGTTTCATAGATTCAGGTAAATTCAGACATGGTGTAATCAGTTTTGCAAATTTGCTTGGAAATTTTGCTGAGAAGTAGAAAAAGCAGGGAAAATATTTTCTATCTAATTAGTTCTGCAGACAGCTGTTCTGGGCTTTCTACCTTTCAAATTCCAATCCCCAAGTCAGACTGAAGTGGTGCAAGTCGTTGTCTTGGAATTATGCTGAAATAAGAATGCTTTGGCTGTTGGCTCCACAGTCATTAGCTCAGGCACTGTTTATGACTGGGTATACTCCAGAGGGGCTGGTGTCTCTTACACGTCTCAGTCTTAAGTTACAGTATTACCACAAGAGTTCCTCAGCATCTTAAACCTATTACCTGATTTTTGGGAGGTTTTTCCTACGTGTATTTAACTTCAAGTAATTTTTGCTGTGGCCTTAAAAATCCCCTCCAGGCCACTGAATCTTATGGTAATCAAATAATGGAAAGTGTTTCAAAATAGACTGCATTATACTATGATCCTGTTAGCTCCTTCTAATGCTGTTAAAGCTTCAGAAAAGAGAACTTTTGTGAAACCAAAGGCATTGCCACAAACCTTCATTATCTGGGCAAATTACTCTTCACTACTTATACTGGATGCCAAACAGACTGGCTGATGTGAGCACTGGCTTTTCTGAGCTGATCAGGATCGCTCTGGACCAAGGAAATCCCAGACTGTCGGTATAATCTTGCTTTGCTCATTCAGTGGGTAGTCCTACTGAAAACTTTGTAAATAATGTGAACAGGATGTGATCCCAC